ACTCTTCCGACTGCCTCACTCTCCCCTTCCATACGCAGTCCACATCTTTCTCCAGCTCACCCTCGCACCCTCGCTCTAGCCTCCGCTACCGTCTCATCGTGGTAGTGCTCCGTGCGCATATAACCATGAGACCATATCATCACATCATAGGATATCGAGGTTTGGAAGGTCACTCGTGCCAGTACATCAGCTCTACGTTCGTGGACCAAATCCCTAGTTCGTTGTCTGCACTCACTCGTCGTCAAGTCCTCGTCTATGTACGCTCGGAGAAGTACTGTCACAGTGTATCCTGTGCTTACCAGTTGCTCTTCTACACGCATCACCGTGGGCATCCTTCCCGGCATTCCCTAAGCTGCGACCTCGAAGAGAAATCTCGCGTCCTCTAGCCCCGCGTAATCGATCTCTGCCCGTCTCCTGCAGTACCTAATCAGATCGATGAGCCTCAGACAGTCCACCCAGCTTGTAACATCTATGATGTCGTCAAGCGTCTCTCTACTGGGCGGCCCCCACCTCACACAAATGGCGTAGTATACTTCCTTGAAGCGGGGCGCTAAGCCCTCCCAGAGCGCGTAAAGTGTGTGATCCACTGCTCTCCTCAAACGATCCACGCTGCCATAGGTCTGCCCTATAACGAAGGTAGGAACTCCGAATCGCCARTCCTTTCTCGGGTAGAGGGTCGGATGTGGTGGACCRTATACCAAGCAGCTCCTACTCGTCCTCCCTCCAGCGAGTCTYGCCAATTGCTGATTAACGATCACTCTGCCCAACAACTCACTTCTCCACCAACTCCTGCTCGCCCCTGCGAGCGTTAGCCCTATCTCTAAATCGTGTGTTCTATCCGCTATTAGATGTCCGACCCCTTCTAGATCACGAGTCCTCTCGGGTCGTTCGTCTCGTAGTATCACTGTCCATAGGAAGAGTCCCTCAGCAAGTATCGTATCGGTACTAGCCCTGCGTCTTCTAACGCCACAGGAAGTGGTATGTCGTATCCAACCCCCGTCTCTCTGGGTCCCACAAGCTTCCTCACGCTATACGATTCGGACTCTCGTGAGAAAACATAAGCTAGCCAGACTGCTGAGTCACTCCTCATTTCTTCTCCTACTCTCGGTCAGCATCACTCTACTCCCTCCGATACACCCCATCTCTCGACGTTGCTAGGTCCAGTATGGTCGAATAGGTTCAGTATCCAGGCTCACGCATCCGTCACCCTGGCGCGCTCCTCTACCTCCTACGACCGGACCGCTACTCCTATCCTGGGAAAATGGGCGTTTATAACGTCAATCTCCTCCTCGTCAACCTCACTCTCTGGGTCGACCCAGTCTGGTTCTTACAGCTCCTCGTCATCCTCTCGCTCCCAACCCTCGTCGTCAAACTCGTCTTCGACGCGGTATGGCGCCTGTCCTATGGCCTGCTAGTATTCCGTCAACTGATGGCCGTATATCAGAGGTCGCCCGACGTCCTCACTCCACCAGCTCCCCCAGTCGTCTGAGAAGAGCCGCCCGATGCAGGTTACGTACTCGGGGCCTGCTCGGAGCTCACGGTCTAGCCAATCCCAAACGCACGAAGGCTGGGGCCATTTGTCATCTATCGAGCGGATCAGCTCTATAAGTTGAACCCTCTCGTCTCCCCAACGAGGCCCACCAGTCGCGAGCGAATAATAGATATAGTCCAAGTCGACAGGTCTTCTCGCCAGGATCTTGAGATCCTGATAAGCCAGGTATGTCTCGACCACTCCACCAATACCTCCAAAGACACTCTCTACTACGAACGTCGGAACTATCGCCCGCAGGCTCCTAACGCTGTACGGAAAAAAAAACATCCCGTGCTATTACGAGCTCGCCCGTGATATCAAGAGGAGGACGTCCGTGAAATAGCGTCAACGGGTCACTCGAGTCCTCCGCTCGGAAGGCAGCTACCTCGTTCCCTAGGTAGCGTAACGCCCTGCTAACTGCGTCACTAGTCCCTGTCGTCGCGAGACCCACCACGGCCTCCTTGACCGCACCCGGTCCCAAATACAAGTAGGCTCTCACTACGCCCACTCCTTGCCCCGGCCGGTGCTCTCTGTACGTCCAAAGCCACACGTCCTCGGACAAGATTATGGACCTCCACGCAAACTGGCCGTCGGCGTGTCGAATGCTGCGTCCGGGGATCGTGAGCTCGACCAGATCCCCCTCTATGAGTTCAGGGGGCTCTAAGTCCCAGTCAATGGTAGCCCCATAGACCTCTACTTGCACCCGGGGCCACATTCAACTGGCGGCTAAAGAGAACGCAGCAAGCGGAAGGTGTAGATTAATAACTCAAAATTCGCGTCGCTTGCCTCACGCCTTTGAGAACAAGCTAGTAGGATCACCTGAAACCAGGTTACCGCAACGTCTCTTTCACTTCTCCTTCTAGGGAATTCTTTTGTATATATATATATATTTTTTATAAATTATAAAAAATGTATTTACCTAAGACAAATTTTATTTCTTAGTTTATATATATTAAGGATTAATACTTGTATAAGCCCGCCGAGTTTGACACTTTTTTTTTTTTTAGGGGTAGAAATAAAATTTTGGGGAATTTTACTAAAATTTTGACAACGTTTCGCCTCCCCCCGTTGAGATGGGGTTCGGGACTATTGTCCCTAGACAAATGCTACCTACCCAGAACTAAAGCCAAATGAAACAAGAGGAAAATCGCTTAAGGAAACAAATTTCTAACGTATTTATAATTAATTTCCCTAATCGCTTTCAATATATTTATAAAAAAAAAAATTAATAATTTAAATTAGGAGATTTTTTGAAATTTCGACAGCACTTTACCTACCCCCCCCGTCGGGATAGGGTTTGACCGAAGCCCTCAAAATACCGACGGTAGATGTATAACAAAAAAGATTAAGAACTGAAAAAGTATCTCAATCTTTAGCTAATTTTCAAGTATTTTCTTTAATTATTTAAGATTTAGTTCAATAAAATTCAGCAAATTTCCGAGAAATTTCGGCAGCACTTTGCTTCCCCCCGTAAAGATGGGGTTAAGCGAAGTATCCTCTGAATCTCAAAGTCGAAATAAAGCCGACTCCCCTTTCTTGAAGAATTTTAGATATTTATTTTGATTTTTAATCGATTTTTAATGACAAATTATTACTTAAAACAAATTTACAACTTAAATTATTTAATTAAACAAAATTCCCAATATTGATTAATCTCAATTTGGTCAACTGGATTTATACAAAATTTTCCCATCACCGGTTGGATAGAAAGACTTGTATCCGCCCAGCTACGCACCGCCCTATCCTAACTTAGGGTTAGGGTTTACCCTAATTAGGGTTTCCCCCCTATTAGGGTTTTGGGGTTTTGCGCGCGACCGCACGCCACCACGTCCGACTTCTAGAGGCAGAAAATTTTCCGTCGGTTTTTAGTCAGTTAAAAGCCGGGTTCTAACGGATCACCTTTGCCGGCTTCTGTTTCCCTTTTATTTTTTTTTTAAATAGAAAGAAAATCACTAATTCCTCTTATTTTCCCCCTCTTTTCCTGCCTGTTGGCGGTCACCACTCGTCGTAACGGAGTCCGTTTTCTCCGACTAAGGTCTCAAAATGTGGGGAAATATACAAGGACCAACTTTGGTCCGGGTGGCGTTCACCTAATTTCACTTCTTTTCTTCGTAATTAAAATAAAAGAAAATTAATAATTTTTGAAATTTTAATTAAAAAAATACAAAACATTCCATATCTCCTTTTCTAGCCATTAAAATTTTTCAAAAAATACCTCAAGACGTTCCCCTCGATGAGAGGTCGAACTTTGCTCCGGTGCGCCTCGCATAAAAACGCGCGGATCGGGAGATATAAAAAAAAAAACGAATCAAATATTTAGACTCATAATTTTAGAGGTTTTTAATTAGAAAATACAAAAAATTTCATATCTCTTTTTCTAGCTGTTAGAATTTCTCAAAAAACGTCTCAAAACGTTCGCCTCGATGAGAGGTTGAACTTTGCTCCCCGTGCGCCTCGCGCAAAAACGCGCGGATCGGGAGATATCGAAAAAAAACGAATTAAATATTTAGACTCATGATTTTAGGGGGTTTTAATTAGAAAATACAAAAAAATTCATATCTTTTTTCCTAGCCGTTAGAATTTCTCAAAAAACGTCTCAAAACAAGGGGATCCCACTGTCGCTCACCAGTACGTTTCTGCAATCAATTTATTATTCCACCAATTCACGCACTAAGGGGTTTCAACAGTCAATCGGTGTCACACAGCAATGCGTTTCAACGGTCAATAGCCATGCCACGCAGTGGTGAGTTTTTAGCAGTAAGCTGGGAACAGCAACTAGGTCGCCACAGTAAGTTTCACAGTCAATCTTTGGATGTGCCACCCCACTTTCTCTTTTCCTCCCTTTCGCTGTTCACGCTCCCTTACTCACGCTGTTCTCTCTCCCTCAGTCTCGCTGCACTCTCTTTCTCACCTTCGCCGTTCCCTCTCTCTCAGTCTCTCTCTCTCTCCCTCTCTCTCTCTCTCTCTCTCTCTCTCTCTCTCTCTCTCTCTCTCTCTCTCTCTCCCGTGGTTCTCTGTAGTTTTTATCTCAATCTCTCTCTCGCCCGTTGTTCTCTCTATCTCTCTCTCCCCCGCGGTCCTCTCTATCTCTCTCACTCTCCCTCTCTTTCTCTCTCTCTCTCTCTCGCGGGATGGCCCCCCTTGCGCTCGAGCAGATTGAAACCAACCTGGCTCAAAGTTTCGAATGAATTAATTAAGTTAAAATCATACAAACATATGATAAAATAAAAATAAAAGAAATAAAAAGAAAACAAGATAAAACTGGAAAAGAACTTTGGCTGACCCGCTCACAGCGGCTATTCTCAACAGAATCCGCAAGTGTACCTTGATWAGCCTGCTCACACCGGCTGTTCTCGTCAGATCTGCAAAGRGGCTTTGGCTAGCCCGCTCACAGGGGCTATTCTCAACAGATCATCAAGTGTACTTTGATTGGCCTGCTCACACAGGCTATTCTCGTCAGATCTGGAAACGGACTTTGGCTAGCCCGCCCACA